TCGAAAACTTTATTAATATCAGCTTGAAGTTTTTCAATGTCTTCAGCCGAGGTAATTTTCATACTGATTTTTGTGTCATCTGCAAAGGATGATACGAAGCTGTGACTTGTATTTGAGTCTATATCTGATATGAGAATAAGGAAAAGCAGCGGTGCAAGGACTGTACCTTGAGGTACAGAGCTTTTAACTGCACTTGGTCTAGATTTTATATGGTTGACCGATACTCGCTGAGTCCTGTTTGACAGAAAACTGAGTATCCAGCGTCCTACTTTACCGGCTATTCCCATTGACTTCATTTTGTGTGCTATCACTCCATGGTCATATTTATCGAAAGCCTTTGCGAAGTCCGTATATATCACATCAGCATTCTGTTTTTCTTCTAATGCCTCAGTGACATTGTCGTAGTGCTTAAGTAGCTGTGAGAGGCACGATCTTCCCGCTCGAAATCCATGTTGGCCTGGGTTGTGAAGGTCATTGGTCTCCATGAAATTGGTGACCTGACTCCTAATCACTCTCTCAAATACTTTTATTATGTGCGATGATAGTGCAACTGATCTATAATTCTTTGCCAATGCTTTGCTCCCTCCCTTGTGTAGAGGGGTTATGTCTGCTACTTTAAGCGCATCTGGTATCTCCTCCGTGTCCAAGCTCTTCCTCCACACTATACTGAGTGCCTGTGCTACCGGCACTTTGCATTTCTTTATAATGCCTCTCTATATAATATCTTTATATACCTCTCCTTGTTCTATTGTAAAGACCTCCTGGAACCTCTTGTTGAGTGTGTGTGTGTGTGCTCGCTTATTTGTGCTTGCGGGGCTTGAGCTCTGGCTCTTTGGTCCCGCCTCTCAACTGTCAATCAACAGGTGTACAGGTTCCTGAGCCTACTGGGCTCTATCATGTCTACATTTGAAACTGTGTATGGAATCAGCCTCCACCACATCGCTGCCTAATGCATTCCACCTGTAACTACTCTGACACTGAAAAAGTTCCTTCTAACGTCCCTGTGGCTCATTTGGGTACTCACTTTCCACCTGTGTCCCCATGTTCGCGTACCACCAGTGTTGAATAGTTTATCCTTGTCTATCCTGTCAATTCCCCTGAGGATTTTATAGGTAGTGATCATGTCTCCCCTCACTCTTGTGTGTGTAATTACCTAAGTGTAATTACCTAAGTGTAGTTACAGGATGAGAGCTAAGCTCGTGGTGTCCCGTCTTCCCAGCACTCTTTGTCATATAACGCTTTGAAACTACTGACGGTCTTGGCCTCCACCACCTTCTCACCTAACTTGTTCCAACCGTCTACCAATCTGTTTACGAAAGTGAATTTTCTTATATTTCTTCGGCATCTGTGTTTAGCTAGTTTATATCTATGACCTCTTGTTCTTAAAGTTCCAGGTCTCAGGAAATCTTCCCTATCGATTTTATCAATTCCTGTTACTATTTTGTATGTAGTGATCATATCGCCTCTTTTTCTTCTGTCTTCTAGTTTTGGGATATTTAATGCCTCTAACCTCTCCTCGTAGCTCTTGCCCTTCAGTTCTGGGAGCCACTTAGTAGCATGTCTTTGCACCTTTTCCAGTTTGTTGATGTGCTTCTTAAGATATGGGCACCACACAACTGCTGCATATTCTAGCTTTGCCCTAACAAAGGTTGTGAACAATTTCTTTAGTATATCGCCATCCATGTATTTAAAGCAATTCTGAAGTTAGAAAGCGTGGCATAGGCTCCTCGCACAGTATTCTTTATGTGGTCCTCAGGTGATAGTTTTCTATATAGAACCAACCCTAGATCTCTTTATCAGAATTCTTTAAAGATTTCTCACATAATATATAGGTTGTGTGGGGTCTATGTTCTCCTATTCCACATTCCATAACATGGCATTTATTAACATTAAATTCCATTTGCCAAGTGGTGCTCCATATACTTATTTTGTCCAGGTCTTCTTGAAGGGCATGACATTCATCTAAGGTTCTTATCCTTCCTATTATCTTAGCATCATCAGCAAACATGTTCATATAATTCTGTATACCAACTAGTAGATCATTTATGTAGACAATAAACATCACTGGTGCAAGAACTGAACCCTGTGGTACTCCACTTGTGACATTTCTCCAGTCCGATACATTGCCTATGATCACTGCCCTCATTTTTCTATCAGTCAGAAAATTTTGCATCCATGTTAGAAGCTTACCTGTCACCCCTCCAATATTTTCCAGTTTCCAGAACAACCTCTTATGTGGAACTCTGTCGAAAGCCTTTTTTAGGTCCAGATAGATGCAGTCAACCCAACCATCTCTTTCCTGTAATATCTCTGTTGCTCGATCATAGAAATTGAGTAAATTCGATACACAGGATCTTCCAGATCGAAAACCATATTGTCTGTCTGATATTATATCATTTCTCTCCAGGTGTTCTACCCATTTAGTTTTAATTATTTTTTCCAATATTTTGACTATTACACTTGTCAATGATACCAGTCTATAATTAAGGGGGTCTTCCCTGCTTCCACTTTTGTAGATTGGAACTATGTTAGCTTGTTTCCACACATCAGCTACAACTCCTGTAAACAGGGATGCCTGAAAAGTCAGTTGAAGAGGAATGCTGAGCTCAGGTGCACATTCTCTCAGAACCCATGGTGAAACTCCATCTGGACCAACTGCTTTGTTCTTATTTAGCTCCTTGAGCATTTTTTCCACTTCGTCTCTAGACACCTCTATGTGCTCTATGTTGTTTTCTGTAATTTTTATTGTATCTGGTTCCCTGAAGATTTCATTTTGTACAAACACACTTTGGAACTTTTCGTTTAATGTTTCACACATTTCCTTTTAATTTACTGTGAATCTATTTCCCATTTTTAACCTCTGAATATTATCCTTTACCTGCAATTTGTTGTTTGTGAATTTATAGAATAGACCTGGTTCTGTTTTACATTTGTCTGCAATCCCTTTTTCAAAATTTCGTTCTGCCTCTAATCAGTGCCGTGTAGTTGTTTCTCGCATCTTTGTATCGCTGGTATGTTTGGGGGTTTGGCCTCTTCCTGTATTGATTCCATTTTTGTGTCTTTTGCTCTCTGGCCCTCTCGCAATTTCTGTTGAACCAATCCTGTTTCCTAGTTCTGCATCTCTGTTTTGGTATAAATTTTTTTGTGCCTTTATCATATATTTCACAAAACTTGACATACATCTCATTCACTTCCTTGCCTAGCAACAAGTCTGTCCAATTATACTCACTAAAAAAATTTCTAAGGTTGCCATAATGTCCTTTCCTAAAGTCGGGTTTTTCAATTTCATCAACTATCATATTTTCTTTCAGATTATAACGCATTGCATACTTTATTCCCAAAAAGACATGGTCACTTTTACCCAAGGGAGGAAGGTACTGAGTGTCAAATATTTCTTCCTCCTTCCTGGTAAATATCAAATCTAGCATGGAGGGAACGTCCCCTTCCCTCATCCTCGTAGCTTGTTTAACATGTTGATACAAGAATGTTTCCAGGATGAGGTCTACAAATTTACAGGTCCAAAAATCTTCTGTTTTAGCTTCATATGCTTCCCAGTCTATGGATTTCAAGTTGAAGTCGCCGACTATCAACAGTCGTGAACTATCGTTATCCGCTCTCGCTATGATCTCTCTCATTATTGTTATAAGACCTTCTCGTTTACTATCTAGCTCCTCCTTTGACCATGTGCTGCTTGGCGGTGGACTATATGCATTTATGATCATTAGTTTATCATCCTCATGGCAGAGCTCTAGTGCTATTATGTCAACTTCTTGTGGATTGGCAGTCATTATTTCCTTCACCTTTAGGTGTTCTTTCACCAGCACAGCAACGCCACCGCCTTTCCTAATTTTTCTGTCCCGTCTCCAAATTGAGTAGCCCCTTGGGAATATGACCTCATTTAAAATAACATCTTCAAGTTTTGTGTGTGTGTGTGTGTGTGTGTGTACTCATATTTTGTACTCGCCTATTTGTGCTTGCGGGCGTTGAGCTTTTGGCTCTTTGGTCCCGCCTCTCAACTGTCAATCAACTGGTGTATAGAATCCTAAGCCTACTGGGGGGGGGGGGGATTCACTTCCTAGTACATTCCATCTGTCAACTACTCTGACACTGAAAAAGTTCTTTCTATTGTCTCTGTGGCTCATTTGGGTACTCAGCTTCCACCTGTGTCCCCTTGTGTGTGTACCACCTGTGTTAACAAATTCATCCTTGTCCACCCTGTCTTTTCCCCTGAGAATTTTGTATGTGGTGATCATGTCTCCCCTTACTTTTCTGTCTTCCAGCAACATGAGGTGCAGTTCCCTCAGCCTTTCCTCATAACTCATGCCTGTTAGTTCTGGGACTAGCCTGGTGGCATACCTCTAAACTTTTTCCAGATTTGTCTTGTGCTTAACAAGATACGGGCAACATGCTGGGGCTGCATACTCCAGGATTGGTCTTACGTATGTGGTATACAAGGTTCTGAATGATTCCTTACACAGGTTCCTGAAGGCAGTTCTGATGTTAGCCAGCCTCATATATGCTGCTGATGTTATTCTTTTGAAGTGGGCTTCAGGAGACAGGTTTGGTGTGATAACAACTCCTAGATCTTTCTCCTTGTTCATTTTGTGAAGGACTTCATCTCCTATTCGATATCCATGTCTGGCCTCCTATTCCTTCCGCCTAATTTCATTACCTTACATTTACTTGGGTTGAACTTTAGTAGCTATTTGTTGGACCATTCCTTCAGTTTATTTAGGTCTTCTTGCAACCTCAGACTATCTTCGTCTGCCTTGATCCTCATAATTTTTGCATCATCAGCAAACATTAAGAAGAATGAGTTAATTCCCTCTGGGAGATCATTGTGTGTGTGTGATCCTCTACTCCTAAAAATAATTACTTATCCCCATTTTCTCATATCAGTAAATACATCCAAATGAAACCTTCAGGGAGACTATGAGGGTCAACTGTGTGTGTGTGGCGTCGAGACCCTCCACGGACCTAATGTCTTCGCCTCTCGCCAGGTATGTGAGCGAGGAAGCAACATACTGGGTGCCGACGGGGTGGCCGGTGGGCGCCACGGGCATGATGATGGAGGAAGGTAGCCTGGCCTCCCCAGGGGAGGAGGAACCCGTCAGCTCCCCGCTGGATGAGGCCTCCACCTCTGCAGCCAATAGCAAGAGACCGGACAGCAAGAAGTGCGGGGTTTGTGGTGATCGTGCCCTCGGCTATAATTTCAACGCCATTACCTGTGAGTCCTGCAAGGCCTTCTTCAGGAGGAATGCTATTAAAAATAAGGTCAGTACAATGTTATTTTTTAATTATCAGGAGAAAGCACCAAGTCATTATGACTTTATAGCACTTGGATGGGGTCAGGATAAGGATTTGGATGGGATGGGAAGTAAGGAATGGTGCCCAGCCACTTGGTGGACGGTCGAGGATTGAATGCTGACCTGCATGAAGTGAGACTATCGCTCTAACGTCCAGTCCAAGAGGTTGGACAAGATAGTACAAGTAGAGCGACGGCCTTGCATCTTTCAGGGTCGGCATTCGATCCCTGATGGCCCAAGTGGTTAAGCACTGTTCTCAAATCACCCCATAATTATTTTACCTTCTCAAATTGTTTTACATGTAATAAATATTGTTTGTTATATCTGTCAGATTTAAGAAATTATTAGGCATATTGACGCTTAGCCTACTGGATAACAAATCAGTAGGGCTCATCACCACATTTGTTTGGAGATTTGCTGTGTCCTCTATATTTTCTAGTTTCATAAAAATCCTAATGTCATCAGCAAAGATTAAAAACGGTACTATAGTTTGTCCTTGTCTATGTTCAATATGAGGATAAAAAAAGGTACCTGAGCAAGCACAGTACTGTACCTTGGGGGGGGGGGGGTCTGAGCTTTTCACGGTGGATGATCCGGAATTTACTGTGTTAACTTTTACACTCTGGGTTCTGTTCGTTAGGAAATGAATTTACCATCTTCCAAGTTTGCCAGTCGTGTTGTGTGTAGTAACATCACCTTTTTGTCGACGGCTTTCGTGAAATCTGTGTACATCACATCCGCATTTTGCTTGTCTTCCATGGCAGCTGAGACCATGTCATAGTGGTCCAGCAATTGTGAGAGGCAGCAACGCCCTCTCCTGAATCCGTGTTGTCCAGGGTTATGTAGACACTGTGATCCCATGTGTTTCATTATCTATCGTCTTAGCACTTTCAAAGATTTTTATGATGTGTGTGAGTGGGAAAATCTAGCCCTAGAATAATAATAATGATGATAATAAATTCAAAGTACCATTCTTTAAGAAGAAAATTATGGAGAACCAGTCAGTACCTATGAATCTCATTTATTTTAAAGTAACTGAAATATATTAAATCGTAATAAGTGAACTGTAATGTAATGAGATATAGAGAGCTAAATCCTTCCACAAACTTTAGGGGGGTAATTTGTATAATAAGTAATATGCATATATATATATATATATATATATATATATATATATATATATATATATATATATATATATATATATATATATATATATATATATATATATGACAATGTCAGACCACGGAGGAAAAATGAAACAGGAAATTTCCTTAAGTACTTTCGTATATTAAATACATCTTCAGAAGGTCCTTCTGAAGATGTATTTAATATACGAAAGTACTTAAGGAAATTTCCTGTTTCATTTTTCTTCCGTGGTCTGACATTGTCACATTCTTAATCACGTGTTTATTTTCGTGATATACACACACATATATATATATATATATATATAAACTATTCAATCATTAAATAAAATCATTAGAATAATGAATGGTTCTAACTACAAGAACACAAACAGCTTAGCTGTTTGAGAAGATAGAAGCATGCGTCCAGCGAATACGTCACAGCGACTTGTTAAAGCGGGCTACTCTAGGAACACGTGATCGAGCCGGAAGAAAATCATCCTTCTTGCCCATAGAACTCAAGCTGAAAGGCGAGCTGCATGTAATTTCTATCTAGGCATATATAATTCCACAAATATTCACAAATTAAGTGTGCATATGCTAAATGACTAACAATTACATGTTTATTTTAATGTACGCATGTCTTAACGACAAGGCGTCCTATCTAATATACATTGCGGCCACAATAATATAAGTAGAAAAAACTCAGCCTTGCCGGACGTAGTGTCCGTAAGATGATGAAGCTGTCACGCCTTCCTGACGTCCGTTGAGGCACGGATGACGTAAATAAAAGGCGAAGAACTGACCTGCTTCAGGACACTCCTGATCTTATTGGCGTCTCTTTACCAAGTCTCTCTTGGCTTGCTCGCGCATGCGCAGCAGCACATTAGCACAGTAGTGTTGGAATGGAGTAAATAATTTCTATAATTTGTCCAACTTTCCAAGATGATAGAGACAAGGTACAGTATATCATAAATTATACGATAATAATTTATCTTACATGACAATGATAAGTGCTCGCTATGTAAATAATTTAAACGCAACTGGGCATTCAAATGGGCAAGAATGTTAAGAGTAGAAATTCAGTTCTACATGTATTCACTGGAACAGCTGGTTTTAACTGTATAAATATTTCCAGCAAATAATACCATATTGGTTAATCGACTATAATCTATTATCAGCTAATAATTCTTATTAAAGAATGCTGAAGTAAAGTGAATTTAATTGAATTCACGTAAATGTAAATATTTTCCCTCTAGTCGTGTTGGCTGATGCAACACCCGACCAGAATTTCTGGGAAAATTCAGGCGGTACTGCGCCTGAATTAAATGGATTCAATATTACTAAACTATTGGTTAGTAGAGTTAGCAAATTATAATATGTAGTACAAGAATTATTTCATAAAGTACTAAGTGTTAGTAATTAAGTGTTGGAAATTTCCAACAGTGAGATGTTAATACTATGAGCCTAAAATTATTTGTGGCGGCTAACTCCTTTGTTATTATTATTTGCGATTGACTAACTCTTTTTGTTGAGCGGCGCGATCTTTGGTGTTTTAAGGGTTTCGGGGATAATAACATAAGTATCTCAGCTCCTCCAAAATATGTTCAGGACCTGTGATAGTGATTTGTTTTGCAATTCTTGATGAACATAGATTTCCAGGAACATGGGCCTGGCATAGAATACATGGGCATGCTGCCTATGGCTACTACTAATTCCAGTGGGGTTATGATGACATCTGATAAATGCTTCGATGGTCGTATCTCATTCATAAGAATGCATTTGGATTATAAATCTTCAGTGTGTTCAGGGGCTCACTGAAAAAAAAAAAAATATTGAAGACTTCATTCATATCGTTGCTGTCACCTGTGAAAGTTCCATCTCTATCTCAGATGCAGCTTTTGCTCTGTATTTGCACATACGAACAAATATTTTGGGTTCCTCTCATTTACACTGGTGGCCTTTTTGCTCTCTTTGCGTTTACAGCTTGGGCGCGTAGGCGCTTTCATGGGTTTATAACCTGTGGGTGAAAAAGCATCTCCTGTTCTCAGTCCAACATTGTTCCTTGTTGAGCTTGACACCGTTGCTCCTTGTCTGTGTCACATCTAACCTCTTGAAGAAGTTGTCTGGATCAACATCCTCCATATTGTTCAGTATTTTAAAAGTTTCGATGAGATCTGCCCTGTCATTTGAGACAAGAAGGCATGGCAGGATGTGCAGAATACCCCTGTTGAAAAGCAGAAGAGCAACAGGTACTCTGAGAGAGACTATCAACATCAGAGGTTCAACAACAATTGACTGTTCAACACGCTTCCACTACACATAAGGGGCATAACTGGCCGACGTTCTCTTGAACTCGCAGTGTTCAAGAGAGAATTGGATAAGCACCTCCAAAGGATACCTGATCAACCAGATTGTGATTCATACGTCAGGCTGCGAGCAGCCGCGTCCAACAGCCTGATTGACCAAACCAGCAATGAGGCGGCCTGGTCGACGACTGGGCTGTGGGGACGCTAAACCCCGTGTCCCGGAGGTCATGTACTCTAAGTAAGGTATGTCATGTCTGGTTAATTTGCCTCTCCAGGATTTTATGCGATTCTTGTAGCTTTAAGTTTGAGTGTTCATATTTCTCTACATAAACTTCCTTGTCACCCTTGAGATAGAGTGGACTGCTTGAGCTGTTCGGCAACTTTTTTTTGTTAGTAAAGAGAATGCCTTTCTTGTGCAATTTGCATCTTCAAGAGAATCAACATCTTCAAGAGAATACTAGATAGTTTTCTTCAAGAAGTGCCAGACCAACCAGGCTATGGTGGATATGTGGGCCTGCGAGCCGCTCCAAGCAACAGCCTGTTGGACCAAGCTCTCACAAGTCAAGCCTGGCCTTGGGCTGGGCTTGGGGAGTAGAAGAACTCCCAGAGCCCTATCAAGCAGGTATCAAGCATAATTGTATGTTTTCTTCTTGGTTTTGTGTGTGTGTGTGTGTGTAATTACCTAAGTGTAATTACCTAAGTGTAGTTACAGGATGAGAGCTACGCTCGTGGTGTCCCGTCTTCCCAGCACTCTTTGTCATATAACGCTTTGAAACTACTGACGGTCTTGGCCTCCACCACCTTCTCCCCTAACTTGTTCCAACTGTCTACCAATCTGTTTGCGAAAGTGAATTTTCTTATATTTCTTCGGTATCTGTGTTTAGCTAGTTTATATCTATGACCTCTTGTTCTTAAAGTTCCAGGTCTCAGGAAATCTTCCCTATCGATTTTATTAATTCCTGTTAATATTTTGTATGTAATGATCATATCACCTCTTTTTCTTCTGTCTTCTAGTTTTGGCATATTTAATGCCTCTAACCTCTCCTCGTAGCTCTTGCCCTTCAGTTCTGGGAGCCACTTAGTAGCATGTCTTTGCACCTTTTCCAGTTTGTTGATGTGCTTCTTAAGATATGGGCACCACACAACTGCTGCATATTCTAGCTTTGGCCTAACAAAAGTCGTGAACAATTTCTTTAGTATATCGCCATCCATGTATTTAAAAGCAATTCTGAAGTTAGAAAGCGTGGCATAGGCTCCTCGCACAATATTCTTTATGTGGTCCTCAGGTGATAGTTTTCTATCTAGAACCACCCCTAGATCTCTTTATCAGAATTCTTTAAAGATTTCTCACATAATATATAGGTTGTGTGGGGTCTATGTTCTCCTATTCCACATTCCATAACATGACATTTATTAACATTAAATTCCATTTGCCAAGTGGCGCTCCATGTACTTATTTTGTCCAGGTCTTCTTGAAGGGCATGACAATCATCTAAGTTTCTTATCCTTCCTATTATCTTAGCATCATCAGCAAACATGTCCATATAATTCTGTTCATATTAATGTGTGTGTGTGTGTGTGTGTGTGTGTGTGTGTGTGTGTGTGTGTGTGTGTGTGTGTGTGTGTGTGTGTGTGTGTGTGTGTGTGTGTGTGTGTGTGCACGCGTGTACTCACCTATTTGTGCTTACAGGATCAAGCATTGACTCTTGGATCCCGCCTTTCTAGCCATCGGTTGTTTACAGCAATGACTCTTCCCATTTCCCTGTCATATCTAGTCTTAAAATTATGAATAGAGTTTGCTTCCACAACCTGTTCCTTAAGTGCATTCCATTTTTCCACTACTCTCACACTAAAAGAATACTTCCTAACATCTCTGTGACTCATCTGAGTTTCCAGCTTCCACCCATGTCCCCTCGTTCTGTTACTACTGCGTGTGAACATTTCATCAATCTCCACTTTGTCAATTCCCCTGAGTATTTTATATGTTCCTATCATATCCCCCCTCTCCCTTCTTTTTTCTAGTGTCGTAAGGTTCAGTTCTTTCAGGCGCTCTTCATATCCCATCCCTCGTAACTCTGGGACAAGCCTCGTTGCAAACTTCTGAACCTATTCCAGTTTCCTTATGTGTTTCTTCTGGTGGGGACTCCATGATGGTGTGGCATACTCTAAGACTGGTCTCCCGTAGGCAGTGTACAGTGCCCTAAAAGCCTCCTCACTTAGGTTTCTGAATGAATTTCTCACTTTCGCCAGTGTAGAGTACGCTGCTGTCGTTATCCTATTTATATGCACCTCAGGAGTTAGGTTAGGTGTTATGTCCACTCCCAGGTCTCTTTCTCGAATCATTACAGTTAGGCAGTTCCCTTTCATTGTGTACTGTCTCTTTGGCCGCCTATCACCTGATCCCATTTCCATAACTTTACATTAACTTGTGTTGAACTCCAGTAGCCATTTCTCTGACCATCTCTGCAACCTGTCCAGGTCCTTTTGGAGAATCCTACAATCCTCATCTGTCACAACTCTTTTCATTAATTTTGCGTATCCGCAAACATTGACATGTAGGATTCCACTCCTGTAAACATATTATTTATGTAAATAAGAAAGAGGATTAGTCTGAGCACCGATCCTTGAGGTACTCCACTCGTTACTGTTCGCCAGTCCGACTTCTCACCCCTTACCATTACTCTCTGGCTCCTTCCTGTTAGGTAATTCCTCACCCATGCTAGGGCCTTTCCGCTTACTCCTGTCTGCCTCTCAAGTTTGTATAGCAGTCTCATGTGCGGTACTGTATCAAAGGCCTTCTGGTAGTCTAGAAATATGCAGTCTGCCCAGCCTTCTCTGTCCTGCCTTATCCTTGTTATTTTTATCATAGAATTCCAAAAGCTTTGTTAGGCATGATTTCCCTATCCAGAACCCATGTTGGCATTTGTTTACAAACCCAATGCTCTCCAGGTGTGCAACAAGTCTTAGCCTAATTATTCTTTCAAGTATTTTGCAGAGGATGCTTGTCAGTGATACGGGTCTGTAGTTGAGTGCCTCTTCCCTATCTCCTTTCTTGAAAATCGGTACGACATTTGCTTTCTTCCAGCAACTGGGTAATTCTCCCGACATAAGTGACTCATTAAAGGTCATTACCAGAGGCACGCTGAGGGCCTGCGCTGCCTCTTTTAGTATCCACGGTGATACTTTGTATGGTCCAACTGCTTTAGTTGCATTTAGAGTTGTCAACTGTTACATTACCTCCTATGCTGTCACCTCTATATCTGATAGTCTTCTGTCTAGGGTAATCCCTTCTAACAATGGGAGCTGCTCATAAATCTGTTGTGAACACTCCATGGAAACTTGCATTCAGTACCTTACAGATATCTTTGCCACTTTCTGTATATGTCCCTTGCGTTTTCCTCAGTCTTGTCACTTGGTCATTTACCGACATCTTCCTTCTTATATGGCTATGTAATAGTTTAGGTTGTTTTTTCACCTTGATTGCAATATCATTCTTGTAATTTCTTTCCGACACTCGTCTTATGTTAATGTAATCATTCCTAGCTCTGTTACATCTAATCCTGTTGTCCTCTGTCCTTTGTCTTCTGTACTTCCTCCACTCCCTCCTGCTTCTCACTTTTGCTTCCTGATACTGTCTATTAAACCATGGGTTATTATATTCCCTCCTGCTTTTTTCCTTTATTGTTGGAATAAATCTCTCTTCAGCCTCCTTGCATTTCTGTATGACTTGGTTCATCATATCTTCACAAAAATTATATATCACAAAAATTAACACGTGATGAAAAATGTGACAGTGTCAGACCACGAAAGAAGAATTGAAACAGGAATTTCCTTAAGCACTGTACAGTGTACTTTCGTATTTAATAAGACCCTTCTGAAGATGTATTATTAAATATGAAAGTACTTAAGGAAATTCCTGTTTCAATTCTTCCTTTGTGGTCTGACACTGTCATATATATATATATATATATATATATATATATATATATATATATATATATATATATATATATATATATATATATATATATATATATATATATATATATATATATAAACAGTTGCATATGTCCTGGGGACCATTCAGGCTTGTTCGCATATATATATATATATATATATATATATATATATATATATATATATATATATATATATATATATATATATATATATATATATATATATATATCTGACCTGTTCCTGAAACAGTCAAGGGATGCCCCGCCGATTATGTTACCTGGTAAGTTGTTTCGTGGAACAACAACCAGATCACAAGTGACCTCATGAGACGACAGCGACGTCAGAATTACTTCTGTTGGCTTATTTAAGTCGCCTTCCCCTCCCCACCCTCCAGGTCAACTGTTGACCTCTCCCTGGCAACAGCCCTCCACAGATGCATATTTCCCGTATGTCTATACTTCTGGGTGAACAGAGCTATCGTGTAAAAGAAAGCTGTCCGACCATATCTGTCCCATCTGGGGAGCAAACCCAAGATTCTCGATTGTTAAGGAGGACTCGTAAGAACCGACCTGACTGCGTCAACTTCTAGCCGGCTGGCAGCAGGATCTTGCCCTTGGGACCAACTGATTGAGATACCTTACAAGTTTATTACATAGTATCATGTGTCTCCTGAGCTGGTTCCTATTGTTGGGGACAGGAAGCCTCTTCTTAGGATTATCAAGGTTCCAAAGGGCCTACTATTGACCTTCTTGAAGATGACACCCACAATAGTGTGGGTGTTAGATAGTTGGCTAACTCCCAAGTACCTATTTTACTGCGAGGTGAACAGAGACATCAGGTGTAGTTTCTGCCTTAGGCCAACTACTAACCTTCTGCTGGATGCAACGTACAACAATTACCTAACTCTTGGGGTACCTATTTTACTACTAGGCGAGCAAAGGCATAAGGTGTAAGGAAATATCCTTTCTGTCTTGTCCGGATATTGTATCCGAGTTACTCGGTTGTGAGTTGAACATAAACTACTGCTCTACAGCCATGTTATTGACATTATTTTAAATGACCAATTATATAAGTACTGTACAATACAGTATGTATCTTGCCTTGCAGGATTTCCGGTGCCCGTTTGAAGACCGATGTAAAGTAAACCAGATAACCAGAAGATTTTGCCAGAAATGCCGCCTTCGGAAATGCTTTGAAATTGGTATGAAGAAAGAATGGATTATGACTGATGAGGAAAAGCAGAGGAAAAAACAAAAGATTGAGGAAAACCGAGCCAGGAAAATTGGAGATGCCTTGTCTGACGATGAGAACATCAAGTCAACGACCCCCTTCAGCCCCTTCACTCCAGTAAGTGGAACGGAATCCACCAAACCTCAAGCGGTAGTGGTTGGGGTGATCAGAAGTGACGAGGACGGCTCGTCTAAGGTGAGTAGCTTATATTATTGTAAACAGTCGTTAATAGATAGACAGACAACTCACAGTCTAGCATATGTGGGATAACTTATTTAGGTTTTTTATATATCTTTAATCTAGTTTCTGACAGGAATGTTGCCATGTGCTGACCAGTATATGTATACATTTTTGTCTGTCTTACATGGACAGGGTAAGAACGGCTACTGTACATAGTAAATTCTTGGGCATTCAGCCACAGAAGCGGATTGTTCTTTAGTAATGACAGTTAAAACAATTAACAAATTATAGGATGACTTCATTTTGGAAGATGCATCAATCATTCATGCAACCACTTAATAAACCTGATCTTTCCTCAATCATGGTGGCATTGTTTACATATAGACTACTGTGCAATATTATACAGTTTATGATCTCTGAAGTGCTTTGTTTAACTCTCTGAAGTTATGTTCATAATGGTAATAACCTTGAAGTGTGAAATTTCGAAGCTCGTCAACTGTTGAATAAATACAAACTAAACTGCCATGATCCAAGAAAGATGTACAGGCTACATAAATGGTTTCATTAATGATGGATGAATCGTGGCCCTGGCAGGGCAGTCTGGTACATTACTGTATAGTCATGAACAAAAAAAATCAACGTTAAGTGTAATGGAATGCTTCTTTCTGGGTGAGGCTTGGCGGCTCCCCTGGAGCAATACTGCTGAGATAGTTTCCCATTACTCAAGTCACATCAGTCACTGGCATCCTGTTGGCATATTGGGAACCAGAGCGAGAACCTGGCTTGCCTCACAGAGCCACACAGAGCAAGATCCTGGCTCTACTCACAGAGCCACACTGACCAAGATCCTGGCTCTACTCACCGAGACACACTGAGCAAGATCCTGGCTGTACTCACAGAGGCACACTGAGCAGTGGATTGTTACGCTCACCCTTACTGGGGAAGGAACCAAAAAGTAGACGAGACAGTTCAGATAACTGCATGGCTCATTAAAGTAAAGTACTAAAACAGCTAACAGATTCCACAAAAGAATCACTCGTAATTAAGTGGTTCACTCGAAACTGGGAACGAAACACCCCTAGTGTGCAGAGCTGTCAACAGCTGGCATCCATCTCTTATCATGTCACCGCTCATAAACTGTTTAATAAGTAGTAGCTAAGGTGCTTCAATTAAGAAAGAGTGAACAGATTACATAAATGGACACTTAAGTACTTAAAAAAATTTGGGTATGGAAAGGGACAGTGTGCATAAAATTCAGGCAATGGAAAGGAATATGTTTGAGATTAGCAGCTTACTGGAGTCATCATTACTGGAGTGAACGATATGGAAGAAAATGCAAGATTGAACCAGTGAAGAGCAGAGGTGCCATAGGCACAATCAGAGAGCACTGTATAAACATCAGAGGTCCGCGGTTGTTCAACGTCCTCCCAGCGACTATAAGAAATATTGCCGGAATAACCATGGACATCTTCAAGAGAAAATGGGACTGTTTTCTAAGAGAAGTTCCGGATCAGCCGGGCTGTGGTGGGTATGTGGCCCTGCGGGCCGCTCCAAGCAACAACCTGGTGGACCAAACTCTCACAAGTCAAGTCTGGCCTTGGGCCGGGCTTAGGGAGTAGAAGAACTCCCAGAACTCCATCAAGCAGGTATCAAGCAGGTAGCTGGTGAAATTATGTAAGATATATATATATAGCAATGAAGAAGTAATTATCTAAGACTAATTACAGGATGAGAGCTATATGCCCGTGGTGTCCCATCTTCCCAGTACTCTTTGTTGTATAATGCTTTGAAACTACAGTACTGTGTATGAGAGATGAGGTACTAATGAGAGGGATGAGGGCACAGAACATGGAGTGAGGAAAGTGTAGTACATTGAGATTATATAGACGTGTTAGTATAGTGCTTGAGACTCGTTTAGGGAGTGAAACAAAGGGATCTTACGGTAGACTGATTATCTGACACCAATATCTTGGTAAAGACCTTAACCCTTAAACTGCGCAACACTTCATATGACGTGTTGAGTATCTTGCTATAAACTGCGCATCACATCATATGACGTGATGGAGTACTACGCAAGATTTAAATGGCCCGCGGATACACGGGGTTCACCACACCTTCATCAGGGCTCTTTATAAACAGACGCCATTTAAAAAAAAAATCATGGGCCAGACTCCCGGGTGTTAGGGGCCTCAGTATTGAGTGAGCTACCAAGCCTGATGCACGCAGCATGAGCTCACAGCACTGCTGTTCAGCTTGTGACCACAGCATCGCCTAAAAATGCCATAATATACTTGTTCATGCTATTATGTAGCGATGATATTATTACAGAAGACCCCTGACTGTGATAAAACTGACCAGGGTTCTGATAATAGCAGGATTGTGGTGATATTTAGCGCTGTGCGCCATGGAGGGAGGAGTAATGCTGTGGGAGGGAGGGTGGTGGTGATGTCTTCTGACTGTGTGTGGCCACCTTTTATTGGCTGCACTCACCATACCAGCTTAGTGGTTTGCTATGGTGAATACAAATGTAGATACTTATATATAACGTGTGTATAGAGAGTATAAACAGCAAGAGGAGTAGGTTGGGAGCCGCCATTTTGGTGAGGGCAGTGGCGTCGTCTGCACGACACCACCGTGCAGACAACGGTGTTGTTTACTGATTACCACAATGGTCTTTGGGCACCATACCAGTTTACTTGTACAAGTATGGTGAATAAAACAGGTAGATATTTATATATAATGTGTGTATATAGCGTAATAACATCACAAACAGTATTGTTGGAGGAGAAATATTAGTGTGTCTGGCCTTGAAGGCGGCAGCCATCAGCTGACTGTGTGAGGTTCTACGTCTTTGTGCCTTTACTCACCATACAAGCTTAGATGTACAGTTATGGTGAACAAAACATGTAAATACTTATATATAACGTCTGTATATAAAAGCAAAAACAGTATGGTGGGTGGAGAATGGTGGCAAGTCAGGTGAGGTGAGGGAGGGAGGGAGTGGCAGCTAGTGGCGGGTTGCCACTGGCTGCCACTGCCACTGCCACTGCTACTGCCACTCAGCATACCAACTTAGTGGTTCGTTATGGTGATCACAAATGTAGATAATTATATATAGCGTCTGTATATAGTGAATAAAAGCAAAAACAGTATTGTGGGAGGAGAATGTGGGTGAGTCAGGTGACTTGAGGGAGGGCGTGAGTGGCTGGCTGGTACACGGCGGTCACTCCTCGTTATTTTTTGACACATAATAGCAACTTAGTGGTTCGTTATGGTGAACAAAACATGCAGATATATATAACCTGTGTATATAGTGTAATAACCGACAAAGTATTTGTTCACTGATTGATGAACATAATTGAATCAACAATATGCACACCATATTTTTGAGTACAGCGATGATTCACTCATTTTATTATATAAATATATCAAACTACACACTATTGAATAATATTACAGCAAAAAACTATGAAAAATCAATCAGAGACATTGAAATAATTAGGTAATTATCTCTTTGTGGCAACTCCGGCCTGACAGCTGGCGATCAACAGACCGCCTGGGACGCACGCTGAGTCAGCGCCTGTTTTTTGCCAGACTTCCCCGCCCTATAGCGGGCAATATATGCCACTTACGATTTTTTTTATTATTTTTCCCATGATCAGTGAACATAAATTAACAGGTTAGGAAGAAAAAAGATTTTTTTTTTTTTTTTAAATTACATGCGCCTGTGGGGAACAAAGGATATTACAGGCATACCTCAGTTTAAGAGTTTAATTGGTTCCTGGAGACGCCTCGTATTCCGAAAACTCGTATTCCGAAGCTAATTTCCCCATAAGAAATAAAGGGAAATGAATTAATCCGTTCCTGACTACCCCAAAAACCCCACATCAAACTAAATTTTTATACCTAATTCATTTAAATAAACCTACAAAACTATGTTCAAGTTATTACTTACCTTGCTGTTGAATGCTGTAGGCGTATGGAAGATGGTGAGGAGGGGGGAGGAGGAGAGGAGTTACTGTTTGGAAGGGGAGGCCCCTTCCATTATCACATCAGGCAGTGAAGACCTTTCTGGTGTGCTCTCCCTGGGACGTTTTATCTGAGTGCCACTAGGTCCTGGTTGAGGCTCACTGCTCGATTTCCTCACCACAAATCTATCCAAACCCTGGCTTTCTCACAAATAATGGCCTCCGAAACACTGTCACCCCTTAATTCCTTGTCGTGTATCCAAATTAATAACAACTTTTCCACTTCTTCAAGTATTTGTGGTCTTTGTTTCGTTATTGTTCTGACTCCTTTTGCCACTTTAGCACTCATAATCTCATTTTTCTTCTTAAGTATAGTGCATATTGTTGATGTGGCTTTGTTGTACTGCCTACAAAGTTCAACAACACGTGTACCGTTCTCATGCTTCCGAATGATCTCTTGTTTCTCCTCTATTGTCATCCTCACATGGGCTTTCTGCCCTTTATCCTTACCACTGGCTTTCTTGGGACCCATGGTGAGATATATAATAACAAATTGTATAGTCAAATCACCAAAAATCCAACAAAACACTGAAAATCCGCGAGAAGAATTGATGTGGGGTAGTCACTGGGTGCGAGACAATGGTAAACTGAGGGGTGGAGGGGCGACGATCGCCGAACCACCACGAGCTGGATCAGCCTGTACGCGTATCAACAAACTCGTGTCCCGAGGTAACCCTCGCGTTCCGAGACATATTTTTCGAGGAAATCCTGCTCGTATTCCGAAAAACTCGCATACAGGGACACTCAGAGAAGGTGGTAGAGGCCAAGACCGTCAGTAGTTTCAAAGCGTTATATGACAAAGAGTGCTGGGAAGACGGGACACCATGAGCGTAGCTCTCATCCTGTAACTACACTTAGGTAATTACACTTAGGTAATTACTCGCATTCCGAGGTACCACTGTATACCCCTAGCATGTTAAGGGTTAAGTAGTGGTCTACATTCTCGACTCGCAACCGAAGGACTCGGCTTCAATCCCTGTGTAGGAC